TTGAACCTGACTCATCGAAATCTTCCTAAACTATAATGTGTCACGTGTATGCTCTAGTCATTTGCTCACCTCGACATCGACCTTGACTTGATTGGGCCTATAGGCCCAATAATATGTTTGGCTCAGGTCGTTTTATCTCAACCGTCAATTCCTTTTTTTCTTTGTACGACATCCAAAATTTATAATTATTCGGTTTATTAAAAAAAATTAATTTTGACCTCTCACATTCTTTGAATCTTCCCAAACCTACTAGTCGATGCAAGCTCTTGAGGACGATCATGTAAAATTGTTTAGATTAAAATTAAATTATTTCATATATTTTCTTTTAGTTTTCTTCTCTATATTTTTATTTATTTTGACTTTGAAATAAATGAATATTATTATTTATTTTAATCTAAATAAAATTAAAAAAATAATACCCTTCTTATTATTATTATTATTATTATTATTATTATTATTTTAAGCTCAAAATCTATATTATTTGGATATGTTCACACGTAAGTCATGAACCAAAAAATACTCTAAGCCATCAATATTCCAAAGCTGTTGAAAAGTCATGATTTTCAAATAATTTTTATTTATTTATTCATTTAATTATTTGTTAACCTTTTAACGTAAGGTACATCCTATGATAAGTTATTTGATTTAATATGATATCAGAAGTCGTCTGTTCGAACTCTTAGTTACTTAATACATGATAGCAATTGAGCTAAACCGATTGAACTATGTGCGAGCGTAACATTTAAGTCGTAGACCTTCTTCGTTAAGAGTACATATTTAAATCAATAAAAAACGTCAATAGCTGGTGGGCTAGGATTTTCTTTGAGTAAGTTTTCGACCGAAAAAAGATAGAGAACCGAGACACGACAGGAACATCGCTGTCCCGCCGGTCGAAAATCTGTAATCAGAACAGTTGGAAGCGATCAAAATGAAAATGGAACAAACAAACAGATCATTTTCGTTGGAAGAGAAGATTCATTGTGTCAATTAGCTTAAAGAAGATGAACCCTGGAGGAGGACACAGGGTATACATACATACATACATACATACATATATATATATATATATATATATATATATATATATATTAAGAAGCAAGAACAAAAAGGAAGCATTTTAGTCGAAAAACTGGAAGAGAATTTACAGACGCTGTGTAAGACTAATGCCTTCATTTCCATATTATCTTTATATACCTATGGCGGATCAGCAGCCTCTTCATTCATCCCGTTCATTGCATTTGGGATAAATACATGACCAGCAACCTCCATTCGCATGCCTGTAATTCAATTATGATTCATAAGAATTTTGATAGACCCAGTTTGAAGAACATTCTTATGTTACAGATTCATGAACAGTTTGAAAAATTCTAAAATCCAGAACAATGCAGAGTAGAAATGATTCTAGTGTCGATCCATTGGTCTGTTCTTAATTTCAGAAAAAACGATCATCTTCAGCTCAACAGATTCTCTTATGTTCATAGCTTGGGAATTTTTACTACCCAAAATGATGCAGAGTCAGAATGATTCTCTATTTACTAATGGAGATTTTCCTACCTGTTCTTCATTTCAGAGAAAACCCTTTCATATTCAATTCAACTCACCAGATTCTTAGGGTATTAGATCATGAAACAGCTTGAGAAATTAAACTATCCAAAATGATGCAGAGTAGAAATGATTCTATTGCGAACAGTGAATTTGCAGGTTCTTCAAACCCCGTATTCAACTCAGGAAATTGTTATGATCCCTGAACAGATTGAGAAATTTTACTAGCCAAAATGATTCAGAGTAGAAGTAGTTGTTTCGAATGGTGAATTTCTCCGTTCTTCATATCAACACAGAAGATCAAACATTCATTTCTCAAGCTAAAAAGTGGAGTGTGAATCAGAGAAACCATTAATTACTAGCTATGGTGTTACCTGCCGGAGGATTTTGTTCTGTTCTTGTTGCTTCCATTGCTGCCATTACTGCTGCTACTGCTACTGCTCTTGATGCTTCCATTGTTAACAATAGAATCATAAGCAACGCTTCCAGTCTCAGATGAAACTGAGAGTCTTCTCTTCCACCAATCCTTTTCCACCGGATGAGAAGGTTTAGGCGAAACTTTAGCACTCGTGTTCAAACCAGAATCGTTGTTCTTCTTCTTCTTCTTCTTCGTTCTGGTTCCAATAGAATTCGGAAATCCCATTTTCAGATACAAACCTCCATTCTCCATATTCCACGAACTTCTCCCAACCAACCCGCTAGTTTCCTTCTTCGATTTCCGATTCTCCGTCGCAAAAACCTCCCGATCCCCGCCTTTATCCCTCTCATTCGCTCCAGTTGGTTCTTGTTGTCCTAAAACCATCGGCTGCTCCACCAAATCTCTCAACGACAACTCGTAACACGACTCCGGCATATTATTCACAAGTTCCATAAGCTCCTTCTGTCCAGTAGCAATAGCAAGAGACTTCGACGGCGGAGACAGGCTCTGGTAATTAGATCGGTAAAACTGCGGGCTCCGTTGAGGACTACTCAAACGAAATCCATACTCCACCGTCTCATCATCCTTAAGATGAATCTGCTTCCCATTCCAACTCCTGAAAATGTCATGATTCAAAGCCGGCCTGGAGCTGGACCTGGACCTGGTTGAAGCAGGAGAACCGAAATCCATAGCGTCAAAAGCCCTAAAATCGGGGGATTCGGTAGGGCTTGAGAGCAGCTTTCTGCTAGAACCAAGCATGATGATGATAGCCGCTGGAAATGGAGAAGGAAGAGGAAGAAATTGAAGGTGAAAAAATGGCGATGGCGGTACGATTACGGTAGTGGAAGTATTGTAGAAGGAGAGTCGTTATCATGGGCGACGCTTTGTGGGTCTTTTTCCTCTCTTCAATTTATTTATTTATTTAAATTAAAAATAAAAATAAAAAAGGATTTTGGAATGGGAGCCAGAAGTCTAGGGGTTCTAGAAGAACACGATGGATGACGTGGAATTTTTTTAATTTAATATAATATTATCTGGCTTCTATTCCGTTTTTTGACTTTTGAGTTCCTCATTTCCTTTTTTTTAATTATATATATTAAAATTTTCAAAATATTAGTGGTTAAATATAATTATCATCGTGATTAATCTTGTTTATGGAGTGATTCAAATCTCAAGCAAGTGTTCTTGTCTTGAGATATTTGATCAATAAGAATCATTTAAGCTAGACATGATCGATCTTGCTTGTAGAGTGATTTGAATCTCAAACAATGTTCTTGCCTTGAGATATTCGATCAACAAGGTAGTCCGAATCTTACTCCCCGATTGATTTCCACATATCAAAAAATTTATCAAATTCAAATATCAAATATTTATAAATAACAATGCGTCATTAACTTTTGTTACAAATGTTAGATATTCGTAATCTCGGGTTGAGTTAAATGGTAACCTTGGTTTCGAGTTGATGTTGACCTGCAAACCAAATCGAATCATCGATTTTCGAAAAATTCAGCTCAACTCGAACAAAAATGAATCTAACCCAACTTGATTTGAATTGGGTATTTCAGATTAGTCCGGTTATCGGGCGAGTCAACGCCGTTAATTGTAACAATAAATTTCATACATATGGACACGTGTGGGCTCTAGCTTATCCTATGATGTGGCATTGATTGGAGGTTATCATATGGTATGATGTCATTATTGATTACTTTTATAATATAAAACAATGGCATAATTTAGTTTAAATTATTTAATAATTTAGAAATCAATATTACAAAACAAATTAAAAAAGAAAAAAGTTGTCGGTGTCATTGTTATTGTTACCGCGAATTACACGACAGTCATCTCAGCATTGACAATGCAATCAATCAAGGTTTATCACATTTTCTTTATTGATTGCAACTATAAAATATATTTCAAATTTTCTCTACGAAAAATAATTTTTTTTATTTAAAAAATATGACTTTGAATCTTAATAATTATATAAATTATTTTTTTATCAACGTACTTTTATTCTTTATTTGAGATCTCACATCAGTTGAGGAGAAGAACGAAACATCCTTTATAAACTAATAGCTTTAGTTAACGACTTTGAATCCTTCAAAAGGAAAAGCTTAAAGAGGATAATATCGGTTAGCGGTGGGTCTGGGTCTATGTTTGCTATGCATATACAATAGCTTTAGTTAACGTCTTTCTCTTGTCATTTATTTGTTACATTCTATCAAATAAACTAATATCTATTTAGTATATTAGAATTACGATTCAAAATGACTCGGTTCTATTGGATTGATTGTTCAATCTATTCTTCTATAGTTTTCGGGTCGATGACAATTATACTAACATTTAATATGATTTAAGATCTGATTACGAAATTTTAAAAAGTATTTGTGGTAGCTAAATGAAACACAATTTTAAGCTTTGACTCATACGATTGATTCAAGTATGACCTATTAATGATTTTTACGCGTGATGTATGATTGAATTAACTAGTTTTGATTTATTAGAGCAAGTTTAAGTGATTGAAAGCATATAGAAATGCTCGAGCTTGATTGATAATGAAATATCATGTGGAACTGATGAAATTGAAAGCATGATTGATTGTTTAGTTACACAATTTAGTGTACCGTTCTAATGATTTGTGATTATGAGCCTTTTTTTATCGGTTACTATGTGAAGACGGGTAGGAGTTCATCAACTAATCTCGTTAAAAATTGTTCACACAGTATATTAATTAGGGTTGTATACGGATTGAGTTGGAAATTTTTTTTACACCAACTCGAGATTAGAGACTATGAAGCTAAGATGGATTGAGGTTTTGTATAAACTACTTGTAACAGTCCAAGCTCATAGCTCGCAGATATTGTCCTCTTTGAGGTTTCCACCCTGTTATAAAAAATGTTTCATTTCCCTCTCCAACCAATATGTAATCTCACAATCCATCCTCATTGGGACCCAGCGTTTCTTTCTCTAATCGATGTGGGATCTCACAATCTACTCCTATTTAGGGCTTAGCGTCTTCACTGACACACCATCTAGTGTCCACCCCCCTTTGGGGCTCAGCATCTTCAGTGACACACTGCATGATGTCTAGCTCTAATATCATTTGTAACAGCTCAATCCCACTGCTAGTAAATATTGTTCTCGGGTTGTTACACTACAATACTCTCAAATATATATATATATACACACACGTATACGTGCGCGAGTATATATGTATGTGCCGTTATGAAAATCATTTTACAAACTTTTACCGAACAAAATTCAAACATCCAATTTTTACTCGAAAAGAAAGTGTATATATATATATATATATATATATATATATATATATATATATATATATATATATATAAATATAATTTAAAATTTGATTTATATATTCTTGAAAACTCATGATCTCAACTCCCAAAAAGTTCCTTTCGGCAAATTAGTGGATATCAAATCAATCATAGACCATTTTATTTTATTTTATTTATTTATTTATTTATTTTTGCCTTTTAAAAAATAATAATAAATAAATAAATAAATAAAATTAATGTAATTTCTGGCATATTTATTTATGATGTAATTTATATAAATATATTTTTATTTTTATTATTTAATTTTCAACCCATCTTTTAAGTAATTTTTAACTATTGTAAGGTAATGGTAAAAATATATATATTAAAATTGAATGGTAAAATTTAATTAAATTTTAAAAGTAAATAAATAAATAAATACTGAACTAACATTTTAATTTTTTTCATTAAAAATAAATTTTTGTATAAAGAACTCCAACCACTCAAAAAAATTATTTAATAAACATTTTTTGGACTGAAAAATTTACCGCTCGAATTTTTATAAACATCTACTAGATCAAGTCTGTACAGTTTTAAAGTGGAGATATTTCTACACACTCATATATAATATTTTGTTCTCGTATCCAATCTTCACGGGATCTCACAATTCACCATCCTTGTGATGGGTCCAACTATGATACCATTTGTAACAGTCCAAGTTCGTCTCTAGCAATATCGCCATCAGCTTTACGGGTTTAAAACGCGTCTATTAATTAGAGGCTTTCATACTCATGTAAGTAATGTTTCGTTTATTTCTCCAACCGACGTGTGATCTCAAATTAAGTATGAATGTTAACCGGTACTAAACTCGAAAATTTAAGTAAAACGACCTTTATCTAAAGGGTCATTTGGGTAAAGTGAAAGGAAAAAGGAGGCATGTGAGTCCCTTAATTTTAGGCACCAAACAAACAAACAGTCCTTTTGAATTGCCAACACCATTTCTATGAGTAAAAGCTACGTTTTGGAATAAAACAAATGAATCATGTCAATCTCTCTTTTTTTTTTTTTTTTTTTTTGTTTGTTTGTTGACACATTTTTTTTTTAATTTTATTAATATTTTAATTTCCGTAAACACATTTAAAATTCTCTTTATTTCTCTTCAAAGAATATAGGGTTACAGTATAACGACCTAGATCCACCGCTAGTAGATATTGTTCTCTTTGGGCAAGAGCTTTCCCTTTAGGCTTTAAAACACGTCTTTTAAGGGAAGGTTTCCACACTCTTATAAATAGTGGTTTGTTCTCCTCCCCAACCAATGTAGAATTTTCTCTCTTATTTACTACGGCGACGAAGAATAAAATTATCACTATATTTATTCCTTTTTCTACTTCTTCTTCCAAGTGCAGGATAACCCCAAGGGGTTGCGGGTTTTTTTCTACCAATTGGGGCCCTCCCTTCACCACCCCCATGGGGATGGTCTACAGGGTTCATAACTACTCCTCTTACTACAGGATGCTTACCTAGCCAACATTTAGATCCGGCTCTACCCAAACTTTTCTGGTTTACCCCAGCATTCCCCACTTGTCCGACTGTTGCTGAGCAATTTTTGGATATCAAACGGACCTCCCCAGAAGGTAATTTTAATGTGGCCGATTTTCCCTCTTTTGCAATCAGTTTCGCTACAGCACCTGCTGCTCTAGCTAATTGTCCCCCTTCACATACAGAGTTACATATATTTGTTTAATAATAATATTTATTTTAGTTCGATAACTTTTGAAATTTATAAACACTATAGTGTGGTCGAGTTTGAATATTAATAGTAATAATGAGGTGATAAGGGGAAATTGTGACAAAGATTGGATGGGATAGGGAATCTTGTTTAAATTAGGCATGAAATTTCCCTTTGTTGGGGACTTGGACAACGTGTTGACCCATTTCCTATTCTAAATTCCAAAAACTATTTATTCACCTTCTTTTATTGCAAATATTATATATTTTTTGTAATGTCGGGACGTTGATTGAGGAGGAGAACAAAACATCGTTTATAAAGCCTTGTTGGTGGGGGGTGCCACATCGATTAAAGAAAGAAATGAGTGTTGAGTGTTAGCGACAACGCTGGGCCTCGAACGGGGTGGATTGTGATGTTCCACATTAGTTGGGAGGAAAACAAAACACCCTTTATAACCCTTTAATAAGGGTACGGAAACCCTTTATAACCCACATTGGTTGGGAGAAGAAAAGAACGAATGCCAGCGACGACACTAATCCTAAAGAGGGGTAGATTGTAATGTTTCACATTAGTTAGGGACGAGAACAAAACACATTTTATAAACCTTTTAATAAGGATGCGGAAAACCCAAAAAGACAATATACATTTTTTAACCTAATATAAATTTTAAGATTTAATTATAAATTTCGGACAAATCCAAAGACGACAATATATGCTACCGATGAACCTAAACCCTAAACCCTAATCTGCTAACAAATCTAGGCGGCTACATTTTTAAACCTACAATGCATTTGGGCTGTTACATTTTTATACCTACGGTGCATCTGGGCTGTTACATTTTTAAGTCTACAGTGAATCTGGTCTGTGGATTTGTGCTGTTCCATTCTTAAACTTAATATAAATTTTAAGATTTAATTATAAAAATATTCTAGATTAGTTTTAATTAGAGAGAGTTTGTAGGTTGAATTCAATCAGATTAAGACATTTTTTAGACTTAATCCAATTGTTCTAAAATTTTATACGGCTCAAACAATTTTTATTAAATAATAAATTTATTGAGTTAAGGTTGTTTTTTTTGTTTCTAATTAGAGTCTATTTATTTATTTTCAAAATAGAAAAATTAAATAATTATGCAATTAAATTCATAAAATAAGTTTATAACCTAATCCATCTACAGATGGGTTGATAGAGTTTTTCGAGGTATCGAGTTTTTTAACCCTCTAGATTTCAATTAAAATTTTATTTTAATTATCGTACTTATTAATAATATTTTTTAAAATAAAAAAAATAAAAAAAAAAGTTGGTACATGGTAATTACAAATTTTGATGTGAAGATTAAAAAGATTTAATAAAAGAAAAGAAATCCCACAAATATTAAATAATAAAATAATATTAATGGAAAAAGTGATCGATGAAAGCAACTTGGATCCATAAAATAATACAAATACTTATTTAATTAATTTTTTTTAACACGCTTTTTTATTAAATACTTAAAAATTTATAGGCTCAGTAGACATAAATATGAATATAAAAATTTATATATATTATTAAACTTTTAATTAAACTTAATTTTTATTTATACCAATTCCCCACACCAAACAAATTTTCTCCATTTAATTAACACTTTATTTCTTTTCTTTTTCTTTTTTCTTCTTTTTGGTCTATTCTTATAAAGCAAGCATATATATATATATATATATATATATATATATATATATGATTCCGATTTATTTTAATACAAATTTATTAATTTAATTTATGCCTACAAACTATAATAAATTAATGAGTTTTGATTAAATGGTAAGAAAAAAAAATATATATATAAAAGAGGGAAAATAAATAAATAAATAAATAAATAAGAGAAATGTGTAAACAAATAATACTTTTGGAAATATATTTAATATTTTTAGTTGAATAAGAAAATATATTTCATTTACCCATTTAATCTATATCACCTTTATTCATTATTATTATTATTATTTTAATAGTTTTTGTTGCTTACACTAATTTTTTAGTTATATTATAATTTTAATATTTCATTTTGTAATTTTTTTTGTGACTAATAAATAATTCAATTTTTTAAATATTGAACTGATTTAATTCTAATAAATGCAGGCCCAAGCCCAATAAGCTTGTACCACTATTTGGGCTTGGGTTGGGCTGTTCTAAATTTCAATGTTTGGGCCCATGAAGTTTTTTTCTTTTTTTAATTAGTCTTATTGAAATAAGTCAAAGTTTTTTTTTTTTTTTTTTTTTTTTTTTTACCGAAGTTAAAAAAAATATCAAACATCTATTCAGTATGTTTTGTTCTTATTCACATAAAATTTCTCCCAGTAAATCACACTTAACCATGAAGTTCGTATGATCAAACCATAAAAAAAAAAAAATGCACCTTATTGATATAGATAGTAACTTTCATTTGTTTTAAATCTTTTTTAATCATCTTATCCTTACGAGTTTTCTCATTTGAATATGATCTCGGTTCATTCATATTAGACAATAGACAATATCTAACCTAGTTAACTGATCCCGTAAAAAAAAATTAACTTTTCAAATTATAAAAATGACGTAAAGAGTTTTAACGATTTTTTTTCCAGCGACAAAAGAAGAAGGATCATAACTGTATTTATAGATTCAAATAATTTTATCTTTTAACTAAAAAAATTAAATAATAAATCTTTGAAACGATAATTAATACCATAAATTGCACGTTCTTCGAAAGGTAACTCGCCAACCACGGCGTCTAAATCGATACCCAAATATTGACCGAAAAACGCTTGAAAAGAACGTGTAGAAATTGGTGTCCTAAAAAAGTGGTACCAAACCTATTTCTTCAAAAACACTTTTAAATTGTGATAAGGGTTGGAAGAGCATTGAAGCAGCCCCTACCATACCAACTCACCCGATAAGGATCAAACCCAATCCAAAAACGACACTCTCCAACTCACCACCTTCTTCATTCTTCTACAAATTTCCACTTTCAAATCATTTTGAACTCCTCCTCCTCCTCCTCCTCTTTCTCTCCAATTTTTCTTTCATCGCTATGATTCCGTTCGTACGATCGTCGTCTCGAAATTTACTCGCCCTTCTCAACCAAAACTATCTCTACCCATCTTTACTCTGTTCTGTTTCGGAATCTCCTATATTAGTTCGGTACGATGGTCGCTGGACTGGATCTCTTTGGTCAACTCCTCGATTTGAATCCACAGAAGCAGTGCGACGTGTAGATCAACTGTATGTTCATGACAACGATGATCAGGTTTGGTGGCTGTTTATTAGTATTTTGAACGTTTTCTCTATCATGCATGTGTGTGTGTGTTTTTTTTTCTATTTAGTTAAAAAAATTGTTAATACTTTATTTAAAAAATATTTTTAGTGGGTTTCAAAAATATTATCCAACTTGGAATAAATTAACTTTATATTTTTTTATTATTTAATTGAAGAAATTTTAAAAAATTATTTATGGAATAAATTAAAAGTGATTCGATAAAATCCGAAACAAAATGTTCCTAAAGTTCGAGATTGAACAATGTTGTATATTTTAAAGGGTAAAAAAAACTCTTAAACTTAAAAAAATAAATAATTAAATTTTAAACCTTAATCAAACACTAATTAATCCAAAATTAATAATTAAACTCGTTTTTATCTAAATTTGATTAATTATTTAACAATTTATCTATAAAAATAAATTTTTATTTTTTTGAATTTAATAAGTAACTTAAGTTAGAGAAATTTTGTGGGACACCTCGAAATTAATTAGTAACTTAAGCAACCGAAATAAAATTCATAATAAACTTACAAGTCCGGTAAGGTAAGATTGAGTTGTAACTCTATTTTTTGATTGGTCGTGTTGACTTAACAAAAAAATGTCAACTCATGAACCGACTCAAAATTTAACACGATTCAATCCTCACCAAAAAAATAAAAAAAAAAATCAACCTAACTCGACTTTTATGATTAGAGTTAGGTGGTCCGAATTAATCAGATATCCGAGTCATATCAATATCCCTAATTCTAATTTTTTTTTTTTTTAATTTTCTCTTCAAAACTTTTTATCTCTCTCTATCTATCTATATATCTATATATATATATATATATATATATATATATATATATATATATATATATATATATATATATATATTATATTATTCTTTGTAAAGGAATTTGCCCACTTTTCTTAATACTTTTCTCTAAATATCTTTATTAAACTTTATTCTCTCTATGAAGTATTTATCTTATATATCTTTTTAAACCCAAACATGTTTTTTTTTATTTATAATTTTTATCTCTCTCTACCATTTTTACTCAATATTTCCCCTATTTTTTAATATTTATATATATATATATATAGAGGATAATATTTAATATTAAAAGCTTGTCATATCATATAAATAATGTCACCATAATTAATATGATAGCACATGGATAATATTTAATATAAAATAGTTGTCGAATCATATAAAAATGTCGATAACAATGGATAAAAAAAATAATAAAAATAAAGAATATATATTTCATTAATAAGTTAAAATTATTATTTATCTTATATTTATTATAATAACGTTTTTTTTTTTTTTTTTTTACATTTTATCCATTTTTTTATCATATAATGAAAATATTGATTCAATTTTATATATGTCGATATGAACATATAAAAATGAATGAGAAATAAAAAATTATTAAATATTAAAGATTTTTGGATTTTTTATTTTTATTTTTTATTTTACATTTTTATTATTTATTATAAGACTAAATAGCTTTTATTTGAAATGACTTTTTTAATTATTTAAATTAAGAAACTATTTATTGTTGTAGAAGTTTTCTTAAAAAGAAAATATTTAGTGTTATAGGAATTGGATTTCCCGGGAGGAAAAGTCCCATTTACGAGTGAAATGAGATTCATTGGTGAGTCGACGATTCAGAAGCGAGTTCCGTGTTATCGTGTTATTGATGAAATTGGAGAGATAACTACATCGAATAATTTCACGCAGGTATTATTCTCATTTATTTATTTATTTATATATTCCAATTTTCATCTGTGATATTCTACATTGGTTTGTGAGGATAACAAGTGAAAATCTTCCCAAGCGTTTTAAAGGCTTGAGGGGAAGGCTGAAAGTAAAAATCCAAAGAGGACAATATCTACTCACAGTGGATCTGGGCCGTTACAAATGGTATCAGAACCAGACATCAGACGATGTGCTAGCCTCCTCGCTATTCCCCGAAGGGGGTAGACACAAGGCAGTGTGCCAGTAAGGACACTAGGCCTCAAAGGGGGGGGGGGGGATTTGGGGCGGTCCCACATCGATTGGAGGAAGGAAAGAGTGTCAGCGAGGGCTGGGCCTGAAAGGGGTGGTTGTGATGTTCCACATTGGTTGGAAAGAGAACAAAACACCCTTTATAAGGGTGTGGAAATCTTACATTGGCAGACACGTTTTGAGGGGAAGTCCAAAAAGGACAATATTTGCTAGCGGTGGATTTGGGCCGTTACAACATCCCTAATATTTTTTTGTTCTTGATAGTTGAGAAAAGATGAAGCGATTAAGATGTACAAAGACATGATAACCCTTCAAACAATGGACACCATATTTTACGAAGCACAAAGGCAAGGACGAATCTCATTTTACTTAACTTCATCCGGAGAAGAAGCTATTTCAGTTGCTTCCGCAGCTGCCCTTCATCCCGACGACGTTGCATTAGCTCAGGTAAATGAAGATCGAGAGACTCAAACATTTGATTGCTTAACGAAAGACATGCATTAATCATTTGAACTATGCTCAAGTTGATTAACTGTGAATTGGGTTGACAGTATAGAGAGCCGGGAGTGTTGGTATGGCGTGGGTTTACGTTGCAAGAATTTGCTAACCAGTTGTTTGGAAACAAAGACGATTATGGGAAGGGTCGACAAATGCCCATTCACTATGGCTCGAAGCAACACAATTACTTCACCATTTCATCGCCTCTTGGGTAACTTTTTCCGTTCTATAAACACTAATCTCTGTTTACGACAATGATTTGAACGTAACGCAATGGAACATTAAGAAAAGTAGATGGTTTGTTTAGAAGTAAATAGTAAATGGATTTCTTTCTTTATGACGTTTTGATATTGAAGAACACAAATTCCACAAGCGGTTGGCATTGCTCATTCGCTTAAAATGGACAAACAAGATGCTTGTGCTGTAGCTTATTTTGGAGATGGCACCACCAGCGAGGTACGGTTTAGTCACTACTGTTCCGATATTTTCTTCTTAGATAAACCTTTCTAATCTATACTAAAAAAATATATATATTGAATTGGATTTACAGGGCGATTTCCACGCGGGGTTGAACTTGGCAGCCGTATTAGGAGCGCCGGTGATTTTCATCTGCCGCAACAACGGCTGGGCTATCAGCACTTCCGTCCAAGAACAATTCCGAAGTACCAGATCCCCAAATTCCGTTCAAAATCCATAATCTCACGCTCTCAATTCGAAGCCCTAATTAATATCTTGGCGTTGATTTTGCAGGCGATGGCGTGGTAGTGAAAGGTCAGGGCTATGGAATACGAAGCATACGAATCGATGGAAACGATGCCCTAGCCATTTACAGTGCGGTTCGCAAAGCTAGATCCATGGCGGTTGCAGAGAAAATGCCGGTTCTGATCGAGGCTTTGACTTACAGAGTTGGCCACCATTCTACCTCCGATGATTCCAGTAAGTACCGCGCTGTTGATGAGATTGAGCACTGGAAAATGGAGAGGAACCCTGTGAATCGCTTTGCTAAATGGCTTACCAATAATGGATGGTTGAGTGTAGAAGATGAGTACAAGCATAAAACCACCATTAAAAAACAGGTCAGTTTTTTGCTTTCGCTTTTGTTAGAATGTTTGAATTGTTAACTAAATTCTAGGAACAAAAACAAAGATTTGTAAATAACAATACAGGAAACTTAAGAGAATTAGTATACTTTTGTTATAAACTTCTTAGTTTGGATGAATTCTTGGGTCTGGTAATCAATGAGTTCATGCCAGCCATGCTTCAACGTTCAAGCATACCGCTAGTGGACATTGTCCCATTGTCTTTTTTGCAGACATTGTTTGAGTTTTTTCATTTGAGCTTCCCTTCAAAGTTTTTAAAACGCTTAGGTTAGAAAGAGATTTCCACAACCTTGTAAAATGCTTCCTTCCCCTCCCCGGCCAATGTGGGATCTCACAATCCACCTCTTCGAAGTCCAGCATCCTCATTGACAATCGTTCCCTTCTCCAATTCATGTGAGTCCTTCCAATCCACCCTCTTTGAGGCCTTCCACACCCATATAAAAAATGTTTTGTTCCCCTCTCCAACTAACATGGAATCTCACAATCCACTCCATTTGATACTCAGCGTCCTTGCTGACACTCGTTCCCTTCTCCCATTGATGTAGGACACTCTAAATCACCTCCTTCGAGACCCAGCATCCTTGTTGGCACACAGCCTCTTGTCCACCCCACACCTTTGTAAAGAATGTTTCGTTCCCCCCCCCCTCCAATCGATGTGGGATCTCACAATTCACCCTTCTCAAAACCCAGCATCCTCGCTGACACTCGTTCCCTTCTCCAATCGATGTGGGACCCTCCAATCCACCCCCCTTCGGGACCTAACATCCTTACTAACATATCACCTCGTGTCCACCCCCTTGGTTCTCAACCTCCTCACTGGCATATTGCCCATCTGGCTCTGATATCATTTGTAATGACCTAAACCCACTGCTAGCATATATTGTCTTCTTTGGACTTTCTGTTTTGTGCTTCCCCTTCGTGATGTAGTTGGTTATCACGTTAGTCTTACTTACTAAAGGTCTCTTGTTCAAGTTTAGGCGACGTCATATTTGAAATTTTTATTTTTATTTTATTTTATTTTATAATCTCGATTCATTTTATACCTCTACAAGAAAATGTAAGAGCTTTAGAGCTTGATAAGTTGAGAATCGTGCTCTCCAACACACAATGAGCATGGGCTTTTAAAACACGTCTATTAGAAAGAGGTTTTCACACTCTTATAAAGAATGATTCGTTCTCCTCTCCAACCAATGTGATGAATGCTATTGTTTGATTGAATAAATTAAATTTCAAGGTGCTGAATGTGCTAAAGCTACCCATTTTGTTGGTTCAGTTGTTACAAGCAATCCAGAATGCAGAGAAGACAGAGAAGCCTCCACTTTCAGAGTTGTTCAATGATGTTTATGACCATTTACCCTCAAACCTTCAAGAACAAGAGGAAGTACTCAGGCAAACAACGAAGAGGTATCCTCAAGATTATCCTTCTGATGTTCCTCTTTAGATTCTATCGAACATATTGTCAAGACTCCTAATGTGTGCATACTTACTTGATTCAAACTCGAAGCTTGAGCCAAATAAGTGTAAACTCTATAATTCGATATAATGTAATATCGGCTCTGTGAGTAATCATGCTCGTCGGGAACTCTTGACAATGATGATGTTCTTATGTAAATTGATATGAAATTCATAATCAAATTATTTGGACTTATGGGGGCATGTTGTGTTCTTCGACCTAGATAGATGAACCTAGAGTCGACGTAGAACGCCTTAAGGTATACTCTTCCTATTCTCTTAGTAGAATTCATCAACCCGAGCATGACATAAGGTACCTCCCCTTACGAGTCTTAGATATTGCATTGAGTTCACCTAGCAACTAATTCCTAAAATGTACTATAAAGTGATAGATGTAGACCTAGCAACTTATGTTTCGGTAAAATCATGTCTACACCTGGTAGACGTAGACATGAAATGCCCTAAAATGTACTATAAAGTGATGTGACTAGTTGTCAAATTCTTCATACCCGAAAAGTTATACATTGTTTAAGCCGCCGTTGTATTTTGCTTGCATGTTATGTAACACCGTTTTCAATCTCTCATTCAACCTTGTTTCAAACTCTCTTTCAAAATCTTTATGCTCCACTTTCTAAAACCTTCTTCTCAAATCGGGGCCAGAGGCTTGAGTATATGTTGCTCGAGTAGGCGACACGATCCAAAATTGGCTTGACTCATTCATTGCTGAAAATGAGTGCCGCACAATTGCCAAATTCACTGCAAAAAGAAGACGATTGTGATACGGAAGCTGTTGCAACCTTAAATTAAAATGTTTGTATTTGTGAAGTTACAAGTTCATGATAAATCAAAACACACACCAGAATAAATCAATTAATCATCAACCTAGTAACGAAGACTGAAAGAATATATCCATAAAGGGAAGATTGAAGAAACTAGTAGCAAATTAAACAATACACTTCATCCTTAGATTCGAACTTGAGACGCACAATTTGTATAAAGCGATGCGTCATTTTGGGATCTGAAGATGGTTTTGAGTTTTCGTGTACATTCAATACAAGCTCATCAAAGCATTGCTCCACATTGACCCGAGTTTTCACACTGCATTCGAGAAATAGACATCCATATTCTCGAGCAAAATTAAAAGTGGAAGGATTTCTAGATGCAAAATTGAAAGTTCAGGCTTTTACTAACACTTCGAAACTTACAATTTAGCCTCTTTCTTCTCCCTTTCAAAAAAAAAAAAAAAAAAAAAAACAAGCATCATGTGGAGTGCCAGCGAGGACGCTGGGCCCCGAAGGAAGTGGATTGTGAGATCCCATGTCGATTGGGCGAAGAGAGCGAAACATTATTTATAAGGGTATGGAGAAGACACGTTCTAAAAATCTTGAGAGAAACCTCGAAAGGAAAAACTCAAAGAGGACAATATCTGCTAGTGGTGGACTTAATTATTAAGATCATCACAAAATAACACTGACAAATAGATCACAATAATACGAGGTAGCCACTTGTGTGTTAAGTGTTTGAATTTCAATTCAAGTAAAGGTATGAAATATGTGCTTACCTTACATAAATCAGTCTCACGTGCTAGTAGCATAGGGTTACGGATGGACTATGGAAAATGTAAACCTAATCCTAGGTTATGAACCGAGGGGTTTAGTTATACACCCTAGTGCAAAACCGTATAGCGTCTAGGTATGGATAGACTTATAAGGCTAGCATGGATGGTAAGCCATGGAAGACCTAAAGCAAGAGTCGGTATATTAGCACATATCTTAAAGAATCATTACACAGACTACATTCGACAAGAGCCTACAAGTTGGACTGCCTGTATCTGTCACAATTGAGGGTGTGAGCGTCCATAGCCATGCAGCTGGTGGGTGCCCATAGATCGAGTCGTCTTCTTCTTTTTATTATCTTAAAATGTTGTTTTGGTGTATTTTGAGCCCATTGTTTGAACTAACCCCAGAGACGCTATTTTGTACCTTATGTCAATTTTAATTTATATTTAAATCTTAAATATACGATAGAGATGAGAGCTTACAAGTAGATTGCTTAATGAGTATGTTTATATACTCGCCCATTTCCTTTCTTTTTCAAGTGTTCGCAGGTTGTCGGTCGAGGTGGAGGAGCGTTCGAGAGCTATATGGTCACAGAGGAGGGTCATTCGAAGTACTTTTCAAGAAAAGTATAGCAAAAACTATTAAATGTATCATCACGTGCTCAATAGAAGTCCTATAATGGAAGTGAAAGATATGACCCCTAAGTTGAATTTTCTTTTTCCCGATGCATAGGCCATGTTCACGTGTCAAGCAATAAGAGACAAAAAGTTAGATGATAAAAAATTTCACAAGAGTCTAAGACTTATAGTGTCGGGATTGGAGGAGAAGTAATAGAGAAGATAGACTTAATAAGTGAGGGATCCATCTCAGTCCGTGACCGAAGTTAGAGATTAAATAATTACTACAACAACAATATAAATAGCTAGAAATGTTTTGGTGTTCGTTAATTATATATATAAAAGAAAATATGTGTAACCATTCAAGCCCACTGCTATCAGATATTGTCTAATTTGACCCGTTACGTATAGCCATCAACCTCACACCCATATAATGCTTCGTTCCTCTCGTCTTGATTTCAAAATTATTTCAACAAGACGTGAGACGTTTGTAGTGCCACCAACCTTGATTTTAATTACCATTTTCACTCATTTCCTCATTTTTACTCTATGGTCAAAATCAAATGCTTTATTTTGGAGAATATTCTACAAAACTTGAAATAATAGATAGTAGAATTATTCATGCTTACAATAGAATAAATTATTTATAAAGTTAATTGTCATTTTTCAAACAATTTTTTTTTACTATTTATATCAATATTTTGTTTTTATTAAAAATAAATTATCTAAACAAATTGAACCGACTTGAATTATTTTAACGGTTAAGTTGGATCGAGTTCATAATTTTTTAAATTAAAAAATATTTACTCGACGCGTAATCAACACTGTTATATATCTATAATATTACAATTTCTAACCGTGTACGTGGATTGGGTTGAAATTTTTTTTGGACCAACCATAAATTTCGAGTTGGTTGAGTTGGTGACTCGAACAACCCGAATAGAGTTCACAACTCAGTTCTACTCAGTCTACTATTGTAATTAAAAAAAATTATAATAACTCAAATATAAAATATTCACAGGACATTGGTAATAAACATAAAATATACTCTTAATCATCATAATAATCTTAAAACTAGGATAGGATTGAGTCGTGTTCTAACCACATTCTCAAGTTAGTTGGGTTGACCCGACCAAAAAAAAAGTCAAATCACGAACCACCCAAAATCTTAATTTTACAAAAGTTCAACCCAACCCAAATCGAAAAAAAAAATATAACTGAACCGAACATTTATGATTTGAATTCGTAGTTCAAGTGGGTCGGGTTATAAGGTGATATGGAGGGCAAGAGAATTTAATTAAATAGAGCTTATAAATTGAGTAATTAGGCTAAAATTATGTACAATAATAGTGTTTATATGTAATTAACAATAAGCGTCCTTAGAAGGCATTTATTCTTGAAATTCTTATCTATATGTGTATATATATATTTACTTGGAAAATTAAAAATATTTAAATGAAATTAATGATGAACATGTTTATTTTTCTCAAGAAATAGAAGTCAAAATTGTAATTAAATTAACATTTAATATATCATTCAATTCGTTAATGCAAATCTAGAGTTGAAACAAAATTTTCAACCGTTAAATTATAAGTTTAGTTTATGAACGTTCATGTTCGTATTCTTTAAAAAATATCTTATAGATCTTGAAATTTCATATTTTTGTGTATTTAATATCAGAATTTTGAAAAACGTTCAACCCACAGGTGTACAAATGGACGGTACGTATTCTGAAGACTCTGTTGTAAGAAAAAATGTTAGTATTGTTTACACGAGTTAGATCCAAAAAGTTCATTCCGACCTAATCTAACACAAACCACGAACAAAACACTGTTTCAATGCAAATTCGAGTATAACTTAATAGATAAGGTATCGATTACTATTCTAATAGTCGATGATTCGATTCTCGACTCCTCACGCCCACGACCTTTGAACTAAAAAGAATCAAAATTAAATATACGCTAACTAAAAAATAAAACCCTAATTTTTACATTAGATAAAGCCAAATTAATTACATCATAATATCATACGCTATTTTTTTTCACCGCTCAACCCCAAGAAAATCTATGAACTTAACATCCTTCTTTTCAACTGATTCATTCGAAATCTCAAAATTAATCGATTTCGATCGATTGTCTTTACAATTTCTCAAATCTAACGAACTCTTATACCATCTTAAGAACACGGACGACGAAAAATGGGGAAATAAGCTATTGTTCCACTGATTATTAGGGTTTTGACGTTCCGAGAATCTTCGAAACAATCCTCCACCGCAACCGCAACCGCCACCGCCACCGTGCGTTCTTGTTCTTGCTATCGCCGGTGCTGTCGGAGAGGATTTAGAACCAATAAAAAGTTCATGAAAGTTTAGTTTAGTTGCAGAGAAATTTGATTGTTGTCTTTGTTTTCTAGCCATTATTACGTGCCAATGATTCTTCACAGCGTTATCAGTTCTTCCCGGAAAAAGCCTAGCGATTAGTGCCCATTTGTTGCCGTGAATCCTATGCGCGGTTAAAAGCCTCTCTTCCTCTTCTTCTGTAAACGGTCTTCTATTTATTCTCGGATCCAATTGATTGAACCATCTCAATCTACAACTCTTCCCTATAAAATTATAATTTTTTTTCATTTTTCCGATAACAACAACAACAAGAACAAGAAAGAACATACCTGATCTTCCTTGCAGCTTCTCGGCAATGAAATTCCAGTTTTGTGCACCATACTGTTTAACTAGCCGTCGGAGCTTCTCGTCCTCAGTCGGGCGCCAGTGTCCTCGTGGGCACGACTTAGTATCGTCCCCAAAAGTCGAAGCGGAAACGAGAAGGCCGTCCATAGCGCGTAGGTTGAGAATGGAGAAAGAGATTTATATAAAGGAAGGAGAAAGTTGATAGGTTTGGTTTGAAGCTGTGGATGGTAAGTCACTTTTGTTGGTTTCACACGATTTTTATTTTTTATTTTTTCTTAGAATTTATTATTATTATTATTATTATTATTATTATTATTATTATTATTTTAAAAAATAATTAAAGATATTAAGAGGGTCCATGGTAATACGTTAAAATCAAACCTAAGGACTATGGTTCGACATGTAGTTTTAATTAACAACGACATTTCTCCTACGTAAATTTATTTTTCCAATTTTACTTTTACAAAAAATAAAAATAAAAATTATAATTATTATTATTGGATTTTTTTTTTTATAATGTCTTTTTCTTTAATATTCACGCGTTTTATTTTAATTTTAGGACATTTATTTTATAATTATTATTATTGGATTTTTTTTTTTTATAATGTCTTTTTCTTTAATATTCACGCGTTTTATTTTAATTTTAGGACATTTATTTGGATAGAAATTAAGATTATATATATATATATATATATAATTGGTAGTAATTTTGGTTTTTTGTTTTATTTGAAAAGTATTTTTGAAGAATAATTCTTGGTAAGTTGTTAAAGTCATGATAATTATTCAATGGTTTAGATTGGTTATTCATAATATCTTAGTTTTTAAGTGAAATATAATGATAATTATTCTAAAATAAGGTCAACCATAAAAAACATTTATAATAATTAATAAAATATTTTAATTATGAAAGGATAAAAATATATTTTGAATATTTGAAATATTTTAATTTTTGGGTCAACGTCTAAATATAGTTTAATTAGTCTAAGTCGATAATTTTCCATAAATATTAGAAATAATGTTTATGTCAAAATGAACATAGCTCAATGGTAATTGACATGCACTTCTTTCTTTGAATTCAAATGTTTGAGTCCTCGTATCGCCACTAATGGTGATAAACGCTGTTTTCTCTCTGTCTTCCTCGGCTGTCTTGATCCGGTGTGAAGCAGCTCGACCTGGAGAAAAGCGGCAAGCCTTTACTTGAGATTCTCTTAGTAGAGCGCACTCATTCTTCAAATTACGTTCGTGTTCAAAAAATTTGATGATCTGAAAAATGTGTGATCAACCCAACCCAACTCGTAAATTTGAGTCGAGTTTAAATAAATGAAAAGAAATTGAGGGGTAAATCTTAATTAAATGTTTGAAAATAAATATTTTTTTGAATAAACGGCTCAAACAACCTAGAAAATTATAGTCCGTTCGAGAGTTATTTGTGTTGAAAAAAAACATACAACTTAAATAATTGGGTTGGGTCTAAAAATTTTTTGAACTTGACCCAACCTAATTCACAAAACGTCCTTATTACGAACTTAAGGTTCTGTATCTATTTAGTCTTTAAACTTTAACAAATGCCTAATAGGTCCACAACTTTTTCAATTTTACGTCGATAGGTACTTGAATTTTCAATTTTGTATGTCTATTAAATATTCGATCTATCCGACATTTTTTAAAATTCACCGACATACCACAAAATTGAAAGTCTAGGGTTCAGTAAGCTGCGTTCTTCTAACGTATATCGAACAATTTCTCGATTCCTCGAGACGTTTTTTTTTTTTTTTTTTTTTTTTTTGTTGGCTCTAATAAATCTAAATGTCGTGCAACAACAGCATTTGAGAAAAAGATTAATAAATGGTTTCTTAAGTGATTAAGATTTGATACTCCACGAAACAAAATTCTTTACTTGTTCTTCGTGTTCTTCGTGTTCTTGTTATTTTTTCTTTTTCTGCTAATTCTTGTCAACCAGCTGATTGGATTGGATTGGATTGGATTGATAATAATGGCGTAAAATGGTTTATGTATTTACATCATACTTTAATTAGTTGACCATCTCTATACCTCACCTAATTATATGAGTTTTTAATACCCATTTCCCTCTATTAATTGGGTATGACATCGGTATCTCCTCTTAATTTCCTTCTACTTTCTTAATCCCTCCAACCCTTTCTTGTTCTAATCAAATTTTGCTTCCTTTTGTTTCTAATTTGGTTTTTTCGGTCGTTTAGGGTTTAGGGTTTAGGGTTAAGGGTTTAGGTCGTTTAGGGTTTAGGGTTTAGGATTTAAGTCGTTTAGGGTTTAGGGTTAAGAGTAAAGTTTACTCTAGTTAAACGAGCAAAAATTGACATGGTTGGGTTGATTGATTTGAGACACTCGATTAAGGTTTTGATCTAAAAGAAGTGAGCTAGTTTAATTACTGATGTCCACAAGTTGGAGACGGGAAAGTCTTTTTTGTCTTCTATTTCCATTCTCAATCCCACAATTTTTTTTTGCAGGAGTCCTTCATCCAAGTTCGGTCTAGAAGTAGTGACAATTTCCCCATGAAGACTCGCTTTCGCTACGGCTCTAGTGGGTTCCCTTAACCAAGCCACTACCTATGAGTCGCCGACTCATTCTTCAACAGGCATGCGGTCAGAGTCCTGGTCTCCTCCCACTGCTTGGAAGCTTACCATTTCATGTTCTATTTCACTCCCCGATGGGGGTTCTTTTCACTCTTCCCTCACGGTACTACTTCACTATCGCTCACCCAAGAGTATTTAGGGTTTCTTATTGAGAATTTTTTTCCCATTTTTCAAACAGAGAATGGGGATGGAGACCGAGAATGATCATCGTTCTTCGTCTCGTTTAGCTAGGAAGAAATCTCTTCTCATTCCCTCCATCATTCTCCGTTTTGAGCAAGGATTCTCCGTTTCATTCAAGGCAAATCCCGAACCCCTAGTTTCATGACTATTATCACTCAATCCCATTTAATAGCCTCAAATTACCTATTAAAAAAAAAAAATTCAAGATTTAAATTAATACAAAATTAATTTTTTTTTTTTTTAATGTGAAAATCAATAGCCATTTCCTCTTAGGCTTTCATTATTAATTGGGTGTTAAATCGGCATCTACTCTTTAATTGATGGATCTTTCTCTTAATTATTCATTAATCTCATCATAACCCCTTCTTTGTTTGTTGTATTACTTTGTTTTTTCTTTTGGTGGAAATTTTCAAAAGCTATATTTTCATTTCTAAGTCGAGTCTCGTCTAAAATCTCTTAACTTTAAAAAATATCAAATCGGTATTTAGAATGAACGACGATAATCGACCTAAAGGTATCAAATTAAAGAACACATCGCTTGCACTCGTATAGATCAGTCCTGCTATACTCGACTATGTACAACCGCTGGATTCTAATTTTCGATATGTACACTATGTACAAGACAAGAATAGAGATTACCACTTTATATAGATCAGTTGTGATATACTCGATCGATGTGGCAGATAGAAAAGAGTGATGAAAAATACCGAGGAAGAGCGCCCCATTATAGTGGTCTAGTGGGCTTGAACTTTAAAAATATCAAATAAATGAATGAACTTTCAATCTATGCTCGAACCATCGACTTTTGAATAGCAATATAACAGCCAAGATCCACTGCTAGCAGATATTGTCCTCTTTGGGCTTCCCTCCAAGGCTTTAAAACGCGTCTAATGGTGTTTTTGTTCTCCTCCCCAACTAATGTTTGGGACATCACAATCCATCCCCCTTCGGGGCCCAGCATCCTCGCTTACACTCTTTCCTTCCTCCAATCGATGTGGGACCGCCACCAAATCCACCCCTTTCAGGGCTCAGAGTCCTTACTAGCACACCGCCTCGTGTCTACCCCCTTCAGGGAACATCAAGAAGGCTAGCACATCGTCCAATATCTGGCTTTGATACCATTTGTAATAGCCCAAATCCCGTGCTAGCAAATATTGTCCTCTTTGGACTTCTCCTTTCGGGCTTCCTCTCAAGACTTTAAAACGTGTCTGCTAGGAGAAACTTTCCACACCCTTCTAAATGGTGTTTTTGTTCTCCTCTCCAATCAACGTGGGACATCACAAGCAATTAATGACTTTTGTCAGCTGACTATGTTCATATTAACTAACTAGTTTAAGAAAGTTTTACGTCGAGACCTCTTTCTTCTACTTTGACTCGTACATTATTTGAATTCTGATTAGGTCTCCCGCAATTTTCAAACTTTTTTTTCCCTTTCTTTCATTTGAAAACTTGTTTAAGTACCTAAATTATGACCAAAAGGTTAGTTTTGGGTATTGTCAACAAATTTATGTAATTTTCTTTGATATAGAATTTTTATGTCACGTAATTGTACTTATTTTGTCAACGAAAGGGTTCTAAGGCATGGAAATTAATTATTAGAGAAGAGAATTCAATAATATTTGAAGAAATTAAAGCCTTCTAGAAATACATTACTTAAGATTTTTCTTTAATTATTATTGTGAGTTGTGTTATTTTATGGGTATTACAAATTGCTTTATTTTTGTTGGTGGGAAAGTAATTTGAATGTAATAGGTGAAAAAAGAAACATGGTTCAACCATTTCTTAGCTCGGTTTAGCTTCAGTTAGTTCGGCTTGTTTCGATCATTTTGACCATTTCTAAAGTAATTTTTACTCAATTGAGGGATGATGACTCAAGAATCTCAATTTTGTGAATGAATGAAATATCATAAGTGAAACGGGATAATGTGAATATAAATTTGGGAATATTCAGCCAAGTTTAGGAGCACCAAATTGAGTCTAAAACTGTATGTGAGCTTACTGTTGGAATACTTATGGGTTAGTGATATGAACTAAGCGACTTAGAAAATGTAGTAAAATGAGCATTTGTGCTCTTATTTAGCCAATGGCTAAACTTCTTTGCAATTCTATGTAGTTTAGGTTGCATGTAGAATCATTCAAGCTCGACATGATCGATCTTGCTTGTGGAGTGATTCGAATCTCAAACAAGTGCTCTTGCCTTGAGATATTTGATCAACAAGAGTCATTCAAGCTAGACATAATTGATCTTGGTTGTAGAGTAATTCGAATCTCAAACAAGTGTTATTGCCTTGAGATATTCGATCAACAAGGTAATCTGAATCTTACTCCCTTTGTAGTGATTTCTTATCATTTGACATCCAAGCTTTCCATTGGGTTGATTTCATATCATTTGGGCTGGATGAAATTGATTGATGCATGAAAATACATATCAATGCATGTACTTTTTGTTTTGTTGATTATGTGTGCTATGTTAATATGATCATGTTTAGAACGGTGAGAACTATGATGTACCATGTATGATAAGTATGAATGAAATATAATGAATATGTACGTACATCTCATAAGGAATTTATGTTTAGCTCGTGTATGCATTCTATTAACCAAAAATTAAAAAGAAAAAAAAAAAGAAAGTCTCACGTTTATTAGGTTAAGAAAGTGGGAATCCATTATAAGTGGAAGACCCCGTGGTTTTCTAAGTTACAACAATTCCTTCTTTTCATCTCATTTAGGCGGTTCGGAGTCTATTGGATAATACATTTTCTAATAGCTCTAGGTCGACTCTTCAGCTGATCCGTCTTGGATCTGATATGCTCAGACCATTTCCTACTAGTTTCAATTCTTCAAAGGCGTTTAAGATTAGTATGACTAATTTAAAATATTTGAAGTTCAATTAACGGTCAAGAAAAATAGGTCCCATCAATCATGAAACATGTTGTATATGGTTGCATTTTCCAACTTCAACAGTGGACTCAAACTGTAATAAACGATTCTCTTAGAATAAGGACGATTTACTAACTTGTGAATGCAATACTTCAATCATATAACTAGATGAACACTACTTGAACAATTGTGCATGAAAGAGAAAATGGTTTGGGGGAAACATTTCGAGTATAAAATATATGCATCATTTTTTTTCGGGTATCATTTAATACCCGATTCTAACTCCCTCATGTCCCCTTTTCCATCATTAAATCTGTGTTTCTTCTTCATAGTGTCACGCACCATAATTCGATTCTTATTATCTCCGAAATTATCTTTGTGGTAAAAAAAAAAAAAAAAAAAAAATATATATATATATATATATATATATATATATATATATATATATATATATATAGTGAGCACACGTGTATGATAACCAACTAAAAAAAGTAAAAAGTAAAAGTAAAGTATTACTGTCCAACTCAAAAACCTAAAATGGAAGGCATTTATTTATTTATTAAGGAACAAAAATTAATTTAAAATTTAATGGTAAAAATTATTTTCAATGATTTTGTTTAACAAAATTAAATTAATTAATAATGACTAATTATCTAGAATTAATTAATATATTAAAAGTGTTTGAAAGTAATTACATAATTAAAATAAATACTATTTTTTATATACAATTTGGATATTAGTCTAAATTAATAATAAAAAAATATCTCTAAAATTTATATTTTATCTAAAAATAATATCACATTTTTTCGGATAAAGTTTTTCTAAAAATTTTAAAAAATTAAAAAAGAAATTAAAAGTATTAATGAAACTTTTTAAAAAAGATTTTTTAAATAATATTTTTAAAAGAGTATTTTATTTGTAACCACCAGAAAAAAATAATAATAAAAAGAAAAAATAAAAAAATGGTATTTTATTTTTAACACGACGTTATTCTGCCCGCAGTATTGTACATATTCAAGTCCATAATCTACCCGTTATATTGCATAGATTCAAGCTCACAAGAAGTAATATTATTGTTTAGATAAGTAAGTCAATCGGGTCAGAATTTCATTAATTTCCTTATAAATTTCTATGTTTTAAAAAATCACAATAAATTATATTTTAGATTTTCTTCCTCTTTTAGATTATATACCAAAAATGTTAAAAGAAAATCAATTAAAACTGGCCAAAATAATTTTGAATAGAATAAAAGGAAAAATGAGGGGATAAAAAAATAAAGTAGAAGATATCTACTAAATATAATATTATAACAAACGATATTTAAATTTAATAATTCGAGCAATAATATTTTAAATTTAAATTTTATTACATGATACAATTTTAAAATAATAAAAATATGAAATTTGATTTTTATTGAGGCAATTAAGTTTATATTCAAAATAGGTGAAGTTTTGATATAAGTGAGAACAAATTTGAATGATGAAAGCAAGCAAATTGGGAGCTAGATAGAACTTTGGGTAACGTCAACCAAGTAAGTGGTCTTATTATCGGTTCGGTCAAAAAACTTACCTTTATGTATGAAGACACATGTTCAGTGTCCTTTGTACATGTCATTTATGCTTTATGTTATATGATGATGTGTAATGATGTTGTATGATGATGTGATGATATTATATGGTGACGTGATAATGTTATATGATGATGTGATATGATGACATGATGATGTAAGATGTATGATGATGAGATGACTTACTATAACGCTATTCATATTAAGATGATGTACATGTATTAGATGTGATGATGCATTATGATGACGATTTTTCCAAGACACAAACCTAATTAATGTTAATGATGATAATCGTATGAAAGTCAATGCATGCATGTTACTTAGAGTAATATATGGACGAGTATAGAACTGTGTCATAAAGATGAAAACTATAGAGACCTCATGCATTTTGCGTGTACATAAACATCGAGTTACTTCCTCATTTATGATGATAAGTACGTACGCATATACTATGATAATCATGCCTCGCATGACACTCAAGCTTATGTTGACATTCGAACGTCGTTACGGATAGCTAGCTCGACTATGATGGGTCTAGGGGGTGCGAACCACCTGGGGATCCACGCTCGCACGTGTGGGTTATGATGGTTTTAATGATAGGTTTTTAACGATAAGTTGCATGTGTTTGCATTCCTTGACCCTAATAGCATGGTCACCTATTGAGTAGTTTTTAAAATACTCAAGTCGTGTGCTACTTCTATTTAAAGTAAAGGCAAGATACCCTTAATATTTTAATTGTTACTATTACTATTTTGTGTTTTGAAAATATCTTCGAATTTTCAATTGTCTTTAAAAATTTATATTAATATTTTTCGACTTTCAAAAAATACGGTTATTGTTAGTATTATATTTAAAAAATACCTATAAAAAACATTTTAACGTTCATATAAATATATTTTTGAAATATTAAAATTTAAAAAAATTAAGAATATTTGTGGGAGTTTTAAGTGTATTTTTTAGCACAGGAGACCGGACTGCTTCTCAAACTCCGAAAATCTCAGATCGGAGAATGGTTCAGATAAGGCAAAGATCTTCAGTCGCAGCATCAAATTCCGGCGGAATCGAGGACTCGCCGGAATTTCTTCCATCCGAGGAACTCAAATCTAAAACCTATGATGATTTCTGTTCCACTAACAAGCTCTTTGTGCTTTGCTTGGCATTTCGGGTTGCAAATGCGCTTTTATTGCAGACTTATTTCAATCCAGATGAACACTGGCAAGCCCTTGAAGTTGCCCACCGCATCACCTTCGGGTAACGTTTCTCCTTCCTGTGATCCTCCTCTCCTTGTTACTAATCTCCTTTCCGTTTCTAATTTTCCTGATTTCTGGGCTGTAATTTCTTGATGAAATAGCTTTACGAAGCTATAATTCAATGATGAGTATCCATTTTGTAGGTATGGTCATCTGACATGGGAGTGGAAGAGGGGAATTCGTAGCTACTTCCATCCTTTGCCGTTTGCTTGTCTTTATAAATTACTTGCTATACTCGGCCTTGATACTCCATTGTTGATGGTAAAGTATTCAACTATGTATAAACTAATAAACCTGTTTGATTGGCTGTGGCAAATTGAATTGTGAAATTTTCTTTACCATGCTTTATAGATTAAAGCTCCCAGGCTGTTGGAATCCATATTCTCGGCTGTTGGTGATTTTTACTTTTACAAACTTTCCTCTGCCCTCTTTGGTGATTATGTTGCAAAATGGGCTGTATCCTTCTGCTGTTGATTGACATATG